AGAGGCAGTGTTGTCACCCCAAACAGGAACTTAGGAGCTCTGTGGATTTCTGGCTGGATCAACAGGTATTTTTCTGTACTTGCAGTATTTTTTAAAGAGACAGAACACAAGGAAATGTTCATGCGCTGCAGAGGTGAACTGCATATCTTTTATGTTAATACAGTAGGATAAGAATCTCTCCGATTTCTTCACTTGCTGCCTGGAATGTATGATGCAGTTACTTGTTGCCCCTGCTGGGCATTTGGGAGATACTGACACACTTCCCAAGATGTTCTGGCATTCTCAGAAAGATTACGCGCCACCAAATTCACTTTGCGGTGTCACATCAATTTATCACAAGACCGTCACATACGCCTGCCTATTACCCGATCCTGTAAAGTGGCCCCTAAGCCCATCAGCGCCTCGGCTGCTTCGGTCTATCAGGCACAGATGGTCTGTTCAGGCAGAAGCAGCTAATCTCCCCTTAAAGCAAAAGCTCTTAAAGCAGACATGAGGAAAGCCGGCGAGGAGTTAAAGGTATGGCGGCTCATTATACAGTGATACACTGTTAAAGCACGACCTTTCGATTTATGGAAGCCGTATTTGGTACTAAACATGTTCTGCTAAAGCTCATTTATAGGTTTTTTTTCAAAGTGTAGATAGATGGACACACTATATGGGAACACCTGACAATCACCCCTACTATGTGGCTAAAAGTATGTGAACCCCTCCAAATGATTGAGTTCAGGTGTTCCCAGTGAAGGGCCATAAGGGTCTTGTTACCACTACAGTCCTGTTATACAATTGTGCTCTTCCAACATTGCGTCAACAGTTTGGGGAAGATCCTTTTCCGCGTGACCAGTGGCGTAAAAATAGTCATAGCAGCCCATGTGGCTGCTATGGGGCCTAGGTTAGGTAGGGGGGCCCCCATAAGAGAGTATATTAGGGAAAACTAAACTGTGACATTTCCAGTATAGAAGGGCTGAAGTCAGACTTCAGGATCTTTGCTGGTCACAGATCCCCCTCTGTGCAGTAAGAAGCATTTGCTTATCTGACTTAGCAGTGTAGATTTGTTGCCCTCTGAACTTTTCCTACAGAGACAAATAAATCCCGTACGCCTAATGCAGTTACAATTCACATCTCCTCAGCTAAACAGCTGAGATTTTTAGCTCTACAAAACAAAAATTGGAAGATTTTCAAAAAGTTTGTATTAGGGTTATAGAGTAATAGTATGTTTGAATACATTTGTCATAATGTAAAATATAATTATGGTTATTATTAGGGTTGCACAGATACCAAGTACAGTACTCGGTAGAAGTATGAGTACATGTACCGATACTTTTGAGCTCCAAGACTAGACTAGAGAAAAATTCAAAAATTAGGAGGCGGCTGTCATTGGTAAGGAGCACACGGAGCTCATGGGATTTATACATCTCTGTTTTGATGTATGATTTTGTTTTTATAAATATAAATAAAGGGATGCACAGATACCAGTTTTGCGAGTACGAGTACTGGTACTTGCCGAGTACTTACAAGTACGAGTACTGATACATTTTTGTTTATTGTCATGTGACAGTTTTTCTAAAACAATACAGACTAATGATTTCAGGACAGTGGTGGAGCGCCAGAGCCAGGTCCCAGCTGCAACCACTGCAACCCTGGTAGTTCTCATGAAAATGCCAAGTATCGGCACTGGTACTCGAAAAGTATCTGTGCATCCCTAGTTATTATTATTATTACTACTGCAACTATACCGAATGTGGATTGCAGGGACCTATGATAGGGTGAGCTGTGCACTTCCTCTTTTCAGACTACTACAACTATACCTTTCATCCAAAGCACTTGTCCCTAGCAGTGATGAGCTGCCTGAATTCCATGTCCACTCAAAACTGTGACCGACAACCAGGGCCGGATTTCCCACCAGGCCACCAAGGCCTGGGCTCGGGGCAGCAGGGAGTAGAGGGGCAGCAGGAGTGTGGAATTCCTATCACCCGACGCCCGGGACATGCAGTTTTTTTTGGAACCTGGCCTTGCATTGAGGAACCTGGCCTTGGGGCAGCAGAGAGAGTAAAAACCAAGCCCCCAGCTCATTACTACTCCCCAGTAGTGTACCGGCTATGCTGACAACTATCCTGCTACATGTGCTTGATTAAGGGACACTTTATGGTAAAGATCAATGACACATATGGTCACAGTTGACATTGAGAGCTGCCAGAGAAAGCATTAGGGCCCCATCAGCATTTTACTATAGGGACCCATGATTCGTAGTTATGCTCCTGAGCGTGACTGTGCCCTTGTGCACACAGCCAGCTCCAAAAAGGCATGGTTTGATGAGTTTGGTGAGTTTGGTGAGGAGGAACTCAAGTGGCCTACACAGAGCCCTGACCAAAACCCTACTGAACACATTTAGGATAAATTAGAACGCTGATTGCAAGTTGGGCGTCCTCAGCCAACATCAGGTCCCATGATTGTTCTTTTGGCTGAATGTGCACAAATTCCCACAGACACACCCCAAAAGTCCAGGGTTGGAGTCATCAGGGTTGACTATGGCCACACCATCCTGATTGCATCCACTCGTATCTGATCTCTGAAGCTAAGCAGGGTCTGCCCTGATTAGTACTTGGATGGGAGAAGTCATTAGGATCATTTCATAGGGCTTGTGTATTTAGGAAAATTTGTTATGTTGTAGATTTATTGCCTTCGCTTCTACTACAGTCCAGCCACTAGAAATTTAACCCAAAATTTCCAAAGTATCACCTACGGTTTGTAGCACCTAGCCGATGGACGTGCATTGCAGCTCAGTGCAATGAGCGGCAATGCACTAACCTGCATTGCAGGTTAACTTTATGTTAGGATCAATCAGTCATGACCATAATGTCCCAGTAGAAACTGCCAGGTGCCAGAGACAGAGGTTGCCATGGGGCCCACCAATTGAAAATGTTGCTATGACGCCACATGATCTGTAGTTACACTCCTGTAACGACCAAAATGAACTTTTCACAGATCTCGCGTTATTAAAGGAAACTATACAGAGAGAGGTTTGTAGGCGGCTATTGTTGACCCACTTCTGTAAATGCTAGCTACCTGGCTCTCTCTGAATTTCTTTCTGAATCACTGACCTGGACCGAACATGCAGATCAGGAAAGTCAGAGTGAAGTCACAACTCCTGATCTGCATACTGAACTAGCATTTTCATGAACTAGGAATAGCTCCATATGTCCTCCATACAGGTTTTTGTTATGGGTTTTTGCAGTTTGTGCATCATCATTGCTCTTTGTCTTGCTTTACTAGACAAGTCTGAACGACTTAATGCATTAAGGTAACATGTTGAAATGCATGAGCAAGTACAAGATAATTCAAATATGACTGTTTGTAGAATGGTGTCTAATATGAGTATGTTGTTGAGGTCTCAGGCAGGAGAAGGGTTAGGAGGCAAATGTCTACATGTCCCAGGCAAGAAAGGGGTTAAAAGCAGCATGTCTACAGGTCTCAGGCAAGAGAAGGGATAACAGCTGAAAGCCTTCAGGTCTCAGTTAGGAGAGTGGTTAGGAGCTGGGTGTCTACAGTTCTTAGGCACATGAGGGATTATGGGTATCTACGGGCCTTAGGCAGGTAAAGGATTAGGATCTGGATGTCTGCAGGTATAAAGCAGGAGAGCGGTCAGGAGCTGAACATCTACAGGTCTTAGGCAGGAGAAGAGTTAGAAGTTGGATGTCTACATAAGGCAGGATAATTTTTAGGAGCTGGATGTCTACAAGTCTTAGACAGTAGAGGGGTTAGGAGCTGTATGTCTTCAAGTCTTAGGCAGGAGAGGGGCTAGAAGCTGGATGTCTTCAGGTCTTAGGCAGGAGAGGGGTTAGAAGTTGGATGTCTACATAAGGCAGGATAATTTTTAGGAGCTGGATGTCTACAAGTCTTAGACAGTAGAGGGGTTAGGAGCTGTATGTCTTCAAGTCTTAGGCAGGAGAGGGGCTAGAAGCTGGATGTCTTCAGGTCTTAGGCAGGAGAGTTGTTTGGCGCTGGATGTCTACAGGTCTAAGGCAGGAGAGGGGTTAGGAGCTGGATGTCTCTAGGTCTTAGGCAGGAGAGGGGCTAGAAGCTGGATGTCTATAGGTCTTAGGCAGGAGAGTTGTTAGGAGCTGGATGTCAACAGGTCTAAGGCAGGAGAAGAGTTAGGACCTTGATGTTTTCAGGTCTTAGGCTGGAGAGGGGTTAGGAGCTGGATGTCTACAGGTCTTAGGCAGGAGAGGGGTTAGGAGCTGGATGTCTACAGGTCTAAGGCAGGAGAGGGGTTAGGAGCTGGATGTCTTTAGGTCTTAGGCAGGAGAGGGGTTAGGAGCTGGATGTCTACAGGTCTTAGGCAGGAGAAGGGTTAGGAGCTGGATGTCTACAGCTCTTAGGCAGGAGAGGGGTTAGGAGCTGGATGTCTACCGATCTCAAGCAGGAGCTCTCTCTACAGTAAAATGTTTTTTTAGGTTTCTGGCAGGAGAAGGCTTAGGAGATGAATATCTACAGATTGCAGGCAGGAGAAGGGTTAAGCATGGTATGCCGATAGCTCCCTGGAAGAAAAAAAGGTTAAGAAGGAAAGTGGTTAAGAGCTCATTGTATATGAGAGGTGGAAGTCAGTCTCTCTCTCTCTCTCTCTTTCTCTCTCTCTCTCTCTCTCTCTCTCTCTCTCTCTCTTTCTCTCTCTTTCTCTCTCAGGTTGAATTAGGAGTCATGAAGTTTTCTGTGTCTAGGGGATGAGATTCTCCATCCAGGCTCACTTCTCTCCTCCCCCCTCTCCTGGTGAATAACAGCGGGATCACTAAATAGCACTTTTGTTAGGAAAGAATTCAGAGGACAGATGGAGAAGTAAGAAGAGAGGGAGAAAGAGAAGGAAAGGAGGGGTGACAGAGAGGGGGGGGGGGGGGGGGAGGAAGACTTAGGGGAGATCTGAGAGAAGAAGGAGATCGATGGAGGAAGAATAGACGGATAAAAGGACAAGGAAGATTAAGGAGAGACACAGAAGAGATAGAGAAAGTCAGAGCAAGACGAGCAGGGTGGAGAAGGAGGGATAGAGACAGAGGGGGAGGGAGGACTGAAAACTAGAGAAAGAAGAGAAGTGAAGGAGGAAATGGGACACAGATGAGGAGAACAAAGACTATCAGAGGAACGCAGAGAACAAGAAGAACACACAACAACTTCTGAATGGACAGACACACAGGCTGAAGGACATCCATCCATGACATGGCCTGTCCTCCCAGCAAAGGGACTGCGTGACAAGGGACCGTGAGAGGCCAAACAATGAGAGACATCCCATGAAGGAGCAAGACAGAGGAGGACAAGAGAAGAAGAACTTCCAGAGATAACCTGACAATCATCAACTGACACCCGGGACACCATCCAGTCAGGTGAGGACAACCAAGGGAACCAGAAGGATCAAAATAGATAGATAGAGAGAGAGATACAGAATATATATGTAGATTGATTGATAGATACAAGAGATAGATGATACAAACTGTACTTCCATATCTATCTATCTGTCTGTCGGTCTATAAAATGTTCTGCCTGGATAGTAACAATGTCTCCGTGACTGTATCATGTCTTTGTGTAAAAGTTTACAATCACAGATGCAGGAAGTGGAATACAGGACACATCATTTATTGCACCTTCCCGGAGAGTCACATCGGGGTCCTGAGCTGTTTACATGACTAAATGTAATATTATCACTCAATACTTCCATAACACAACACAGAGCAACGCCGGGGAAGACATGTCATGAGAAGAGACAAAATATAAATATCTCTATCTATTATCTATCATCTATCTATCTATCTATCTATCTATCTATCTATCTATCTATCTATCTATCTATCTATCTATCTATCTATCTTGTCTTGTCATCCACATGTATTCGGTCGTCAGTCACATCTGGAGTCGGTCTGATTGATGTAATCTGAGGGGGGGAGAGGGCTTTATGAGCGGTGGAACCTGTATTTAGCCTCAGTCAGGTCTTGTAGGGACTCGCGCTCCCTCGATAAGACTCGTGTTGGTGGAGCTCATCTCGTCCTTTGTAGACACCTAAAACTTTTGGCAAAATAAATAATATTTGGTGGTGGGACTCCGCGGGGACGTCCGCCTTCAGAATAATGGTAGTACAGTTTTCAGTGCGGCCGGTGACTTGTTTTAGTTTTCTCTGAGAGAAGCCAACAAACTCCATGTGCTCCGGCACTGCCAGAAATCTATCTATCTATCTATCTATCTATCTATCTATCTATCTATCTATCTTGTCTTGTCATCCACATGTATTCGGTCGTCAGTCACATCTGGAGTCGGTCTGATTGATGTAATCTGAGGGGGGGAGAGGGCTTTATGAGCGGTGGAACCTGTATTTAGCCTCAGTCAGGTCTTGTAGGGACTCGCGCTCCCTCGATAAGACTCGTGTTGGTGGAGCTCATCTCGTCCTTTGTAGACACCTAAAACTTTTGGCAAAATAAATAATATTTGGTGGTGGGACTCCGCGGGGACGTCCGCCTTCAGAATAATGGTAGTACAGTTTTCAGTGCGGCCGGTGACTTGTTTTAGTTTTCTCTGAGAGAAGCCAACAAACTCCATGTGCTCCGGCACTGCCAGATATGATTGCTCAGCAGATGACTGGGAGGTCCAGAAGGTCTGTACCACGAAGCAGCAGAATAAGGGAAAGCCACAGGCAGGGCTGGATTTCCCACAAGGCCAACCAAGGCCCGCCCTTGGGGCAGCAGGGAGTAGAGGGGCAGCAGTGGTGTGGAATTCCTATGTGCCGATGCCCGGGGCATGCAGTTCTGGGCGCCGGGCGGGTAGTTGTTTTCTACATTTAGCCCGGCTTTGGGCAAGCAGAGCTAAATGTAGAGCGGGGAAGCCGCTGCTTGTTCATACAAGTGAGCCTGGCGATGTTGCCGAGATCACTTGTATGCAGCCTGCAGGTCTCCCTCTCCATGGGGGGGTTTGGCGGGCAGGGGGGCGCTTTGAGGAACCTGGTCTTGGGGCAGCAGAGAGAGTAAATCCGGCACTGTGTCCGGGTGAATCCTGGACATGTGGCAACCCTAAGGCCCCGTTCCCACTGCGCGATATGCAAATCGCGCGTTTGTCGCGCGATTTGCATATTGCGTGACATCGCGAGATTTGCCGCGCGATGTCGCGTTCAAGCTTGCATTAAGCAAGCTTGAATCGCGGCTAAATCCGCTCCAAAAAGGGTCCTGCTGTAGCGACACACGACCCGCGACAGCAGGACCCTTTGCC